TTATTTCTTTTCTCTGCTGCCGAATTCCTACTCATCCTTTGAGACTCAGGTCAGAGTCATCTTTCTTACGAGACCTCCCTGATTCCCTCTAGGTAGAGGTAAGTCTTTCCCCTGTGGCCCCTGGAACGCATCTCTGTTGTAGCACAAAGTAACATGCATTTTAATTATTTATTTACCAGTCTGTGTCTCCCAGCTAATTATAAGCTCTTCTGGGGACAGGCCTCTGTCTTTTCCATTTTTGTGTCTCTAGCACCTACCGGGGTACTTGGTATAACTGGGGCACTTGCTAAATGCTTGTTGAAATATGAATACGTGATTGAATGGAACTTACATCTTAAAATAAAAGTTCATACTGATCTAAAATTTTCAAAATAAGCTAATCAATAAATGTGGCTTGAGCATGTGTGATATATAAAGCATGGTGTTGCATTTGACATGAAGTACTGATTATGGCTTCTGCCTTAAGAAACTTGTAATCTAGCTGGGGGCCCAGACGATATGTATAAAAATAAATGTTAATTAAGAAAGAAATGATAGAAAAAGGAACTTCTCAATGAAGTTACTAAATGAGTGGAGATGGGTTTTAGGATCTTGGAGTCTGAAAATGTCCCTAAGGCCTAGAGAAGGGGTTCTATGGAATATAACTCGATTAGTTAGAACTCCATGTTGCAAGTGGCAAAAGGAATTAGCTCATAATGATTTAAATAATAAAGGGAAGCTATTGGCCAAAATTCCCAGGAACAAATGGCTTCAGACAGGACACCATCTAGTATGCAAGGAATATGACCTGATTTCTCTCTATTTCTCTGTTCTTCCCTTCAAGGTGCCAGCCTCTTTCCTTTTCACCCACATTTTGTCATGTTATCACCCTTCCTTTTCCTCCCCCAGCAGCACCATGTTCTCCCTTTGAAGAGTACCATTTCTAGACCTTACAGGCTCACCTTATCTTTCTCAGAAGGCTCTAGCAAATATGTATTTACATTTCACTTTCTGATTAGTTATATACCTTCACTGAACTAATCACTGTAGCCACAAAAATGGGATCATCTGATTGATTTCAGCAAATTAGTGCCCACCCCAAAAGTATGGAAAAGTCAATCATACCTATCATATGGCTGATAATATAAAAGGGTTGTTGCCCATGAATATACAAGATACTCAGAGAGGCTAGTGTGTCACCTGGGGTGGGCGGGAAAGCAATGTGGCTTGGGAAACATGGCTTAGGGTTACACTGAACAAGTTTGACTTGTTTCTCACTTGCTTCACCAAAGCCAGATGTTGAAAGAGATCTCAGAACATGTGGCCTCTCCCCATTATCCTTCTTTAAATTATGGCAGAAGAAAGAGCTTTGGATTAGGGACCAAAAGATCTTGACTTCTGGTATTGGCTCTGTCAGGACACTAAATATTTCTGATCCTCAGTTTTCTCAACTATAAAATGCAGATGACGCCACCTGTCTTCCCAGCATTGTCAAGAGGATCAAATGAAATGGTCAGTATGGAAGCTCTTTCAAAAGTATCAAGATATATTTAGAAAGTACTATTTGTAATCTTACCCTGAGTGCTCACTTCCATATATTCCTCATCTTGAGGGCTTAAAAAAATTTAAGCCAATGCACTCCCCCAGTTTCCTTTTGTTCACCCCACTCCAGACAGTCCATCCATTTTTCAGTGATACACTTTCACTGGTATACTCTATATCAATCATTATGCTTTTAGCTCAAGGAATGGAAAACCCCACCCCAAACAACTTTAACAATAGGACACTTTATTTTCTCATGATAAGGAGTCCACAGATAGGGTGGGCTCCAGGTGCAATATGTCAGCCAGTGCTTCCACCTCTTCTGGCTCTGACTTCACCTTAGGGTTGCTCTCATCCTCACCCTTGCTACAAAATGGCTACAGTGGTTCCAGGAATCACAGGCAGACAACTCTTTCTTCATATGTGGATGTCTCTCTCTCTCTCTTTTAGGCTAGAACAGCTTTCTAAGAAAAACTGTCATGTCTTATTGATTTAGAACTGGCCACAAGCCCACCCCTAAACCAATCTCTGGCAAAAGGGAATGGGATTCATATGATTAGTTGAGATTACTCAGTATTCACCCTTGAGCTAGAGATAGGGCTATTTTCTACACAGACAGATGATAGAAAATTATCTGAAAATGATTAGGGCCTAATGGCTAAAAGAGTGGAGTGATTGGCTATTGGGTAGGCAGCTGAGTGCCTCTGTGTCACAGATGCCGTCAATGCCCTGCTCATTTCCCGGGGCCTATGACTTCAGTGCACATCACTAACGTCTGACCACCAGCACCTGTATTTCTTTGCTTGTAAGCTTCTTGGGCTACTTGGAGCCTGCATTGCTGCCCAAGCAATAAGCCAGAAATACTGGGGGATTGATGTTCAATCAACCCTGGAAACAGCCCTCAGTGACTGATGGACTATGTATTCCAAGTATATAAATACCCAAGTTCCATCATCTCTGGGGTAAGATAACTCTGTGGTGTTTGCTCTATACTGGCTTCCAGAATTTCCCCAGCAGAATTAAGTTCCAGTAGGCCACAGTGGTAGCTGGTTTGACAACACTCTTACAGGCTGCCTTCCTTTTCCTGTCTTACTTTCTCATTCTGCTGTGGCATCTCCTTCACCTCCTTTGACTTCCTGTCTCAGAGTTAGCTTCTTGGGAAACCCAAATGAAGATACTATGTACCATATGCCAAACTTCTTCCTGAATCAACAGTCTTTGTATATAATTTTCTCATCTGCCTGGAACATGTTTCCTCTTTCTTCTCACCTGATGCACTCACTCTCCAAGTCTTGGTGTAAATGTCACTTCCCTTCGGAATCCTTCTTTGATCGTCTCTCCACCTGACACCATGCTCTCAATCTTTGCTCTCCTATTCTATACTTCTCCTTAACAATAATTACAATGCTTGTAATCTAATTGTTTGTGTAATTTAATTAAGTATTTGCTTCCCATATTTATCCACAACTAGACTGTGAGCTGCTTGAAGGTAGGGACAATGTTTTTGACTTAACACTACACCACTGACCTCCAGTACAATGCCTGGCACAAAGTAGAGGGTCAAGGACTTACTGCCCGCTGGAAAGATGAGGGTTGTGAGAGACTAAAGATGCAAGTTTGAGGGTCATTCACATGGACAAAATGATCAATCTTTTGATGGAAAAGATCTTTGATTCACATGATTCCTACATGGATCTACGTTTGTTTCTTAGGGCAGAATATAACTTTTATACATAAGGGGATGTCCGTAATCTAAAAGAGAATCTTGGGAGTGGCTCATTTATATCTATGAGAGATGCCACTTTAATCACCTTACTTTATTTATACATTACAGAATTCTACCTCAAATCCACCATTCATTCATTGAATGCCTACTATCTATTAAGCATTGTACCTGGCACTTGCACTATCTGCTATCAACTATTTTCAAAAGTCATGAGAGAGATTATATTGATGGAGAAAATCCCAGATTCCTCCTCTGCCTCCCCTCGCCATCCTTCTACATTAGGCTTTTGGCTTTCATTAAAAGAACAAAGAAAAATCTAATGAAAGTAATCACTATATCTGCTGAAAAAGGTATCTGAGGACATTGTCTGTTTTGTCACTCAGCGCTCACATGGGAAAAGTTAGTGATAAGTGACACGAGTCATGGTAAAAACAAACAGACATGCATGCTTGTCATCTTTTTGCCAGGCAGGTTCTTTCTTACTAATCCCTAAACCAGACCCTTGTCTCTGCATGGGATTGATGCAGGTTTTATGGGGCTTGAGGTTTATATAATTTGGAATCCTTTGAGAAAAAAGTGTAAGACTACAAATAAAAATGTAACACATAGCTTTGCAGTCTACCCAAGTGAGGGGCTCTGAAGTTCAAGCTTCACTGGTTTTGCAGTAAATCAGCATTGGACTTTGATTCAATGAACCTGCTCTCCTCTGCCCCTTACCCCTGCCATGGTTGTTCTGACCTCTATGCCTTGTTTATATTGATTTCTTACTTGAAAGTCCTTCCTCCTCCTTTTTTTCAATCTGTGGACCATATATATATATATATGTATATATATATATATATGTTTTTTTTCCCCCAAGTTTGAATCCACAATGCGTTCTTTGATTCTACCTAGCCGGAAGCTTTCCCTTCCTGAAGGCCCACACCCTATGAAATAAGTCCAGGACATTCTATCTCATTATGGCTTAAATTGCATTATCTATTTTAGGTACATATAGTGTGCCTTCTCCAATTAGAGTGTCCACTTCTTGGGCATAAGGACTATTTCTTCATTTAGATCTCTCCTCAGCACCTACTAAAGTTCTGGGTACAACAGTAAGGGAAGGAAAAAGGAAAGGTGTCATGAAGAAGAATTATGGGGTTTGGAGTGGAGCCAACCTGGTTTGAGTTCTAGTTCTGCCACTTATTAGTGTGTGGCTTTAGGCTTAACCATTCTGAGTCTTAGTTTTCTCACTGATGAATTGATATAATCATGAAGTTTATTTCACATCATTGTGAGCATTAAGTAAAAGCATTTATTCATTCACCAAATATCTATTTAGCTCCTCTCTTGGGCTATTTCTGGTACCAGAAGCTTAGAATACATGTAACTGAGCAATACTCTCTGTATGAGGGTTCTCATAGCTGATTTGGGAGATGGAAATTTATAATGTAACAGAATAAGACTATAGCACACAATCAGAGCATAGTAAATGCTCAATATATAGTTGTGAGATAACTGACACAATGAAGGAATTCAGAAGAGAAAATGGTTAATTTTGCAAAGTAAGTAGGTCTTCCCATATTTGCCACATCATCCTTATGTAAATATAACTGTTAGCTATACTGGATATGACAGTATATGGGAACTCATAAAATGCTACATGTAAAGGAAAAATAAAACCAAAGGAGAAAGAATGCGAGGAGAGAGGAAAAAGGGGAGGAAGAGAGGCCTCAAGGAGGCAAAGAGTGGGAAAGGTCCTCTGTGGACCCACCTGGCCAAGTGTGCACTCCATGCCACCCAGGAAGTCGGCCTCCTTCAGCCCATTGTGGTTGCTGCTGATGTCATGAACTTCAAACCGCAGACGCTGCACCTCTTCAAAGTAAAAGTCCACAGTGAACAGTTTTGAATACACTGGGTTTATGCAGGTGCGAATCACTTCTGTTCTGTCAACCTGCAAGGAGAGAAGAAGAGAAAACCCCACCAGGATTAGGGCTTTTTATTATTACCCTTTAGGTGAAATAATCTTATGGTGCTTCCCTTCTTCCAAACCATAAATGCCCTCCATTGAGTCACAAGAGCTAGCTGTTTGAAAGCCTACAAGGAGGCACCCTCAGAGAATGAGCCACGTTTCAAGGAGGGAAATCTTCTTTCAGAATAATCTGAAGCTTTGCATTTAAAGATTTAAAGCATGTTATATTGTTAGGTAATAAGGCAACAAGATGGATCAATTATTAGTGACTACCTGGAGCCTTAGGATGAAAAGGAGTCTGAAAGCACATCTGGGCTCAGGAGGAAAGAAATCTGTAATAGATTAGTCATGTCTGATGGGCACAGAAATGGCAAAAGACCACGTAGGCACCCCATTTTAGCCAACCCTACTCTAATATGAGTTTTGCAACACCTGATTCCTAGCATAATGAAGTGGAAAGGCCATGAGAATGGGGATGAAGATGACTGCCTTTGGTCTCAACTATGGCTTTTATTGGGTTTATAATGGTTACTCAGTCATTTCAATTCCCTGGGCCTCAGTTTCCTCATCAACAAAATGAAGATTTGAGGATTGGAAGATGAAAAGCCCCTTCCTGCTCTAACATTCCATGAGTTATGACTCCCCTTGCTTTCTGTGATAATAACTCTCCATTTGCCCCCCTCTCTCAGATCCATATCTCCCTACTCTCCACCCTACTCTTGATCCTGGAGGCTGACCTCTATGGATGGAATTCCCTGGACTTCCTTGCCCTCTATGTTCTGGTTTGAATCAGCCAAAGGGAGGACTTAGCAGGAGATCAGATGGTGGGAGGATAGAGATGTACTGGCAGCAGTACCATGCCTCTGCACACATAGAGCCTGCTAGTAGACTCCCTTCCACAGAGGGAGCTTTTGCGGGTCCTGGTAACACAATGCCCCCTCCCTCTCTAGACTCTTCAGACCAGGGGGTGGTAATGACTTTCTACTGTTGCTATCCCTAATCACTATCCTTTGTTGGCTCCCTTATCCCTGCCCATGCCCCCAGAAAGCATCCCTCTCTAAAGAGTTTAGCCCTTTAGATGAAACTCTCTGGGTATGCCATCTGTTTTTACCGGTACCCTTACTATTAAGGTTCTTTCCTTCTATGTCTGTCACATGTCAAAACACCATTTACAACACTATTTATATTCTGGAAAGCTAACCCAAGATCTTAATGACAGCTAACCCAAATTATAGCTAACCCAAGATCTTACAGTATATCCCAACTGGGGATATCCATTACTCATATTTTATAAATCAACTGGAGTCTACATGTACTTTTGGCTTTCAAATAGAAACATGGTCTATTGGATACTTCCCAATGTTGTTCATTAGCACAAACTGGGAAAAACATTTCCTGCACTTTCATTAGAGTACAGAGAAACATTCTCTCAAAAACTGAAGGGAAGACTGTCTTTAACCATATCATGCACATACATGTTATCCAGCAAAGAAAAAATTCTTGGGGCACAGTCCCTTGACATTCTTGCATTCAGTGTTTTGTCCCTGGCCCAACCATCCCTATGGGCCGTGTGTGAGAGAGAGTTGTCCTGTGAGAAACATCACCTGCTATTCCTGAGAGGATGGACAATACAGGTTGTGAGGAGGAGAATATGATTCTGGTTAGGTCCCTGTCCAACAGACAGAACACCAAATCCCAACCTACCATTGATTAGCATTTTACAATAAGCTATTGTTCAGACCAATGGTTATTTGACTCTTCTGGCTTCTCCTGAAGGCTGACCTTCTATTTGAACTGAATTTTACATTTTTAAAATTTAAATTCAAGTTAGTTAGCATATAGTGTAGTATTGGTTTCGGGAGTAGAATTTAGTGATTTATCACTTACATAAAACACAGCACTCATCCCAATATGTTCTCTTCTTAATGCCCATCACCCATTTATCCCATTCCCCCACCTGGCTCCTCTCCAGCAACCCTCAGTTTATTCTCTGTAGTTAAGAGTCTCTGATGGTTTGGGGTGCCTGGGTGGCTCAGTCAGCTGAGCATCTGACTCTTGGTTTCAGCTCAAGTCATGATCTCAGGGTCGTGAGATAGAGCCCCATGAAGGGTTCCACACTCAGCAGGGAGTCTGCTTGAGATTCTCTCTCTCCCTCTCCCCTTCTTCCCTCTTCCCCATGCTCACTCTCTCACTCTCTCTCAAAATAAATAAATAAATCTTTTTTTTAAAGTTTCTTATGGTTTGCTGGAATTTTACATTTTTTTAAAGATTTTATTTATTTATTTGAGAGAGAGAGAATGAGAGAGCACAAGAAGGAAGAGGGTCAGAGGGAGAAGCAGACTCCCTGCTGAGCAGGAAGCTCGATGTGGGACTCGATCCCAGGACTCCAGGATCATGACCTGAGCCGAAGGCAGTCGCTTAACCAATTGAGCCACCCAGGCGCCCTATGGAATTTTACATTTTTATATAATATTCATTCTGTGGGATAGGACTGAATGTGATACTGGCTGGTTGTATAGGTACAAGGATTTACTATATTGATATAATTTTTTTCAGTTGTTAAAAGATCATCATTTTGAATAATAGTATAAATTAGAGGCCACAAACTGGCAGTCTGCAAGTTCAAGCTGACTTGGAGGTGTTTTATGGGCCCATTTGAAAGTACTTTCCTCCTTAATTTGCCAACATAAAAGGCAACAATAAATAAAATAAAATAGTCCCATACAAGGGACTATTTCTATTGCCCCTCCCACCTTTGGAAAAAAAATAAGAATATCTGGCAATGTGGAGCCACACTCATACATGGCAACAACTGGGGACTGCCCCATTCAGATGGGGCACTCACTCTCCAAGCTCTTCTGCCTCAGTGAGTTTCCCTGACTCCTAGAGGCATTTTTGCAACATCTGTCCCAAATTCACAGAATCATGAGCCATATAAGAGATTTAATTATATTCATGGGGTGACTTTTGAGAGAGGATTTTGAAATAGCCCCCCAAAACTAACTTCTAGATGGATTTGACATCCTCAAGACACAGAAAAGGAATCTTCCCTCCTTATGTGTGTAACAATAGAGTCCTAGGCGGGTTGAGATAAGATAGGAGATGGAAATTCCATCCAATTCCAGTCTTTGTTCCTCTGCTTTAACCACCCCAGATGGCACAAGGGGCTGATGTGCACCGATCCTGCTGCTTTTCTTCTCACTTCTTGATTTTCAGATGACAATCCCACATAGGTATAAGTTCATGTTAGCATCAAGCCACTGACCTCTGACAGTCTATCCAAGGCAAGCTGTCAACATGCAACATGGAATGACTTGGTTTTTTGAGGGAAATGACTGGTTGGAAAGAAAGTAAGAAATACCCAATTGCATTACCAAGATAGACAATTTCCAAAGATAATCTCAGAGCTAGTAAGAATCCTAAGAGCATAGAGGAGCTCAGAAAAATAATGATGCTAATAGAAGAAGTGCTTGCCATACCAAATGCCTATTTAGAAGATGGTTGCATTCCCAGCCATTATGGGAGATGCATTATCTTTTCTGGAGACTGAAGCCAGGTTTAATCTGAGCAATAGAGCCTAGAATAATAGCTCATGTTCCTCACTGAGAGGCATGAAGATCAAGGTGATTGTTTCCAAAAGACCATCCACTGACTGGTGCTACCAGCTGCATCAGAATCCATCAGGCAGCTTTTTAAAAAACAACTCAGATTCCTATTCTCGACCACCAGCGATTCTGACTAAGCAAGTATAAGGTGGGACCCAGAAGCCTCCATTTTTAAGAGTGTCCCAGTCAATTCTGATGTAGGAATATCAGCATAAGGGAATTTCAGAGATGTAGGGTCTATCCCTTGCTCTTCTGTGAGGTTTTTTGGTCAAGGTTTATTTTAACCTTGGTGGTCTTCTGTTACTCAGTCTTCAAAAAGTCTGCTTATCTCCTTTCCTTCCTAGCTGTAATAACTGATATATTCATGTTGCTTTATAATTTGCAGAACATGCTTAGGTCCAGTTTTTATTTGATTCTAATAGCAATTATGTGATGTGACTTTATAGTATTTTGTATATGAGAAAAATCAAGGACAAATATCAGCACAAGGTACTAGATGATAGACTGAGCACTTGAACTCATGCCTTCTGACCTCACAGCCTGGACTATTTTCCTTAATTCAAGTTTTTTTTTTAAGATTTTACTTATTTATTTGAGAGAGAGAGAATGAGAGAGAGAGCACAAGAGGGGGGAGGGTCAGAGGGAGAAGCAGACTCCCTGCTAAGCAGGGAGCCCAATGTGGGACTCGATCCTGGGACTCCAGGATCATGACCTGAGCTGAAGGCAGTCGCTTAACCAACTGAGCCACCCAGGTGCCATTAATTCAATTTTATTTGTGAGAATTCCTTGAAAGAAATGGAAAATGCAGCTATAGGTATAGTATGATGGTGATAGAGTCAATTATTGAGTACTGCTTTTGATGAGATGCCCCTTTAAAAATTTCATCTAAAACATTTTTGAGTATAGTACTAAAGTGTATAATACAACATTAATAAAAAGCCTGCTCTGTACCATACGATCCAGCAATTGCACTACTGGGTATTTACCACAAAGATACAAATGTAGGGATCCGAAGGGGTACGTGCACCCCTATGTTTATAGCAGCAATGTCCACAATAGCCAAACTGTGGAAAGAGCCAAGATGTCCATCGACAGATGAATGGATAAAGAAGATGTGGTGTATATATAAAATGGAATATTATGCAGCCATCAAAAGGAATGAGATCTTGCCATTTGCAACGACGTGGATGGAACTGGAGGGTGTTATGCTGAGTGAAATTAGTCAAACAGAGAAAGACATGTATCATATGACCTCACTGATATGAGGAATTCTTAATCTCAGGAAACAAACTGAGGGTTGCTGGAGTGAGGGTGGGGTGGGAGGGATGTGGTGGCTGGGTGATAGACACTGGGGAGGGTATGTGCTATGGTGAGCGC